AGGGGCGGGGCCTCGGCGGGGGTTGTGGGGGTGACCCAGCCACGTGGGTGTGTGAGACCGGATGGCTGCTGCTCATGTCTGCCTCTGTCGCCAGCTGTGGAAACCGGGGACATGGGCAGGTTGAGGATCTCCGGGTCTGTGGCTGGTGTGTGGACAATCTGAGAGGACCCCCACTTCCTCCTCACAGGGACATCCGGGGAGCTGGGCATGCTGCGGCCCATCAAAATTGAGCCCGAGGACCTGGACATCATTCAGGTCACCGTCCCAGGTAAGAGACGGAGGTGAGAGGGCTGAGCTGAACCTTCAGGAAGCAGCGTCTCCGGGAGCCAGGGCTGCCCTGTCCTCACCTTCAGGGCCTGTCCCTCCAGGAAGAGCCCAGGCCGGCTCCCTGGGTTGACCAGAGTGGCAGTGGGCGCGCGGCATGCCCTCCGGGACGGGGGCTGCTGCTCTGACCCTTGCCCCAACCTCACCTCCCTGGCCCAGCTTCCCTGGGGTCTGTGAGGTCAGAGAGAGGACCGAGTTTGATCTGGACTCAGCCCTGACCTGAGTTACTGCCTACATCTGTAGAGAAGCGATGCACCAGCCCGAGGGGGGTGGCCCTCCCCTGTCTCCTAGCACCTTGGGAGGCTGAGGCAGGAGGATCCCAAGTTCTAACCTATCCTGGGCAATTTAGCAATTTAGCAAGCTCCTGTCTCAAAAAATAAAAAGGGACTGGGGATGCAGTGTGAAGTCCTTCGGTATAAAGACCCGGAGTTCAGTCCCCACAGTACAAAAACAAGAGGAGTCCGTCCTCCCCAGAGACCCGGCAGGCCTTGCCCTCCCAGTACCCCAGGGCACGGCTTCCGAAAGGGTCCTGGCGAGCGGCCCACTGCCACCCAGAAACAAGAGGAGTCCTCGCCGTGGAGGCTCGTCCTCCCCAGAGACCCGGCAGGCCGTGCCCTCCCAGTACCCCAGGGCACGGCTTCCGAAAGGGTCCTGGCGAGCGGCCCACTGCCACCCCGGGGACCGTGACCGGTGGGATGGGAGAATGCCCCGGTCACCGGGTGTCCTCCCTGCAGATGCTTCGCCAGCCTCCGAGGAGATGACAGACTCACTGCCGGGCCACCTGGCGTCCGAGGACTCCGGCTACGGCATGGAGGTGGCGGCTGGTGAGCCCCGGGTGGCCGCCCTGGAGGGGTGGGGGGCGGGAAGCTCAGGTCCGGGGCGTGGGGTGCCTTGCTCTGCCGAGGAGGGATGAGGGGCAGCGGAGCGTCCCTTACCTGAAATGCCTGGAACCGCGAGGGTCCGGAATTTGGTTTTGTTGGTTTGTTTGTGGTCCTGGGGATGGAACCCAGGGCCTTTGCCCTGAGCTACAGCCCAGCCCTTTGTTTATTATTTTTTATTTTGAGTCAAGGTCTTGCTAAGCTCCTCAGTTGCCCAGCTGGGCCTTGAATTTGTAACCTTCCTACCTCAGCCTCCCCAGGTGAAGCACCATCCCTGGGCCTGTCGTGGGTTCCTGAAGCAGTGGCATTTGGTTCACACCCACCCCGTCCCAGAGAGATGGTTGCCATTGCCATGGGCTCCCCAGGGATTCCGGTCTGTAGGTGGGGACAGAGCCAGCCAAAGAGCTGATGTGATGAAGAACGATGACTTAAACTGAATTCCTCTGCCTTTCGGGGAGAAATTTTTATTTTGAGATAGGGGCTCACTCAGTTGCCCAGTCGGCCTGAGCTTGTGATCCTCTTGCCTCAGCCTCCCCGAGTTCTGGGATTCCAGGTGTGCACCTGGAATGTGGGGGCGTACGTGCATGTTTACATGGACGGGTTGAGATGACTGGGAAGAGGCCCAGGTTCAAACACAAGGTCTGTTTCCGGTTCACTCCCTCCTTGTGCGCACAGCCTGAAGGTAACTGAAAACAATTCTGTGGATGGAACAAAAGTTTCACGGTGTGGAATCTTCTGCTTGTGGATCTCGTCCGAGCTCAGAAAGTTCTGGATTTCGGAGCACTTTGGCTTTTGGACTTTCTGATGAGGCATGCAGACCCCATACCTGGCCGGCGCTCCTGCCCAGCTGTGTTCCATCCAGGACTCTGGGTGGGATTGGTTTATAGCGGGATACTGCATCTTTGCCATGCAGATTAATCTGTTTGTTCATTTAATAACTATTTGTTGAACACCTACGGTGTCTTGGACCCCGTTAACTCCTATTAGCCTGTGCACAGTTCAGGGAACAGAGCAGTGAACTGAATGGGCAGAAACCCTGTGGGGCTGACACTGAAGCACAGAGTGACAGGGAGCAGATACAGGGGACACAGCTGGGAAGTAGGGTGGTCAGGGAAGGTGGGGTGGTTGGTATTGGATTAGGGAGGACAGAGAGGACCTCACCAAACAGATGACCTTCCAGCTGGCCTATAGGAGGTCCCTATGGATAATGGGAAAGAGCTTACCAGAGCAACAGCAGGTGCAAAGGCCCTGAGGCCGCCTAGGCCCAAGGCATCTCAGAAAACAAGTAGCTCCGTTAACTGGAGTAGAGCAGGCAGGGGGACAGCAGATCAGTGAGGTGACCAGGTGGGTTTGATCAGGGGCTTGCTTCTCAGGGGCTGGAGTGACACTGGGACCTTGAGGCTAATGGGGGCATCTTAGCAAGGTTCTCAGGCCCTGGATTTGTGAATACACTGCAGAGGGGAGGAGACAGAGACAGACTGCCTCAGCCTCCTGAGTGCTGGTGTTACAGGCATGTCCCGCCATGCCCAGCTAGGTCCCAAAGTGATGTAGGCAAGGGCTGGCATGGTAGTGTAGCCTGTGACCCCAGCACTCAGGGAGGCTGAAGCAGGAGGATCACATGTTCAAGCTCAGCCTGGACAGTTTAGTGACTTAGTGAGACCCTCACTGTTGTCTCAACTAATAAAAGCACTCCGTGTGAGGGCCCTGGGTTCAATCCCTAGTGCCCAAAATAAGTCATAAAAATGTAAAACTATTACACCATTGAAGTGATCTAGGCTGGTGGCTAGACAGGTTTGCAGCAGTAGGCAAGAGGGTTTTCAACATTTTTTTGCACTGTTTAAGAAATGTTCAAAAACATAAAAACAAAAATGTCCGGGCCAGGGATTTAATCCCCAGTACAAAAAAAAAAAAATCCAACCACACACACAAGTTTAATGAGTCTCATGTACCCAGTGCCTTTGCCAGCAGTTATCAACAGATGTTATAGGTAATAAAGATGTGACAGGTACGTACAGGATTTTTTTTTAAGGAATTGTTATTAAGAAAAAGGGTATCTCCCAGGTGGTACATGTCTGTCTCAGTATTCTGGGAGGCTGAGGCAGGAGGATGGCAAGTTTGAGTCCAGCCTGGGAGACTTAGTGAGACCCTGTCTTAAAAAAAAAAAAAGCAGAAAGGGCTGGGGATACAGCTCAGTGTGAAAGCCCTAAGTTCAATCTCTGGTACCACCAAAAAAGAAAGAAAAACCTTCTGATGTGTGGCATTCCAGGCAGCTGGTCTGGGGCTGGGGTCTCAGGGTGCAGTGATGTGTGGGGTGAAGTGACTTCAAAGCGGGGCTCAGGTGTTGGTGCAGGCAGACAGGAGCCAGTCTCAGGCAGCACCCGCAGGGACTGGAGGGGGAGGCACACCCGTCCCCCAGAGGCTTCCAGTGATGTGCGCCGGAGGACGCCACGCCTCTTCAATTCAGATCTGTTCCGGGTCTGGTGCTTTGGGCCATGAGATCACTAGGTTCCAGCGAGCCACTGAGATGGGACATGGCTGGGATCGGTGTCCACACAGGGACAGGGAAGAACTGAGCCATGTGGCCGCCTGGCACCATCCCTGCAGGGCCCTTAGTGTTGCTGAGTTGGACTCTGAGGTCCAGGCCTTTCCCCCACCCCACCCCAGTACAGAGGATTGAACCCAGGGCCTTCTCCTTTGAGTTACCTCCCCAGCCCTTCGTTTTTAAACTTTGAGACACTCTTGATAAGTCACTAAGTTGCCCAGGCCTGGCTTCAACTTGCAATTCTCCTGCCTCAGCTTCCTGAGCACTGGAAGTACAGGTGTGTACGTACCACCTGCCCTGCTAGGTCCCGGCCACTCAGTCTGGAGGACTTGGGCTGCAAGGAAGGGGCCCTGTGACCACACAGCTCCTCGCTGGGGCACCGCATTCCCTGCTTAGGCCGTTGGTGGCAAGTTCCAGCTTACACTGTGACAAGAACGGGTGACCAACCGGGAAAAGGGAGAGGTGGTGCGCATACACTGCCAGTGTGACCTCAGGGGAAAGCAAGACTGGGCCCAGGCTGGCCTTCTGTCAGCCATCGGGCTTTCTCTTTGGGAAGCACGGTCACGACGCATTTGGGTGAGGGGTGAGGACACTGGGGTTTGAACCTAGGGCCTTCACACTGAACCACAGCCCCAGTCCTTTTTATTTAGACAGGGACAAAAAAAAAAAAAGAAAAAAAGAAAAAAGACAAAAGGGCTGGAGATTTAGCTCAGTGGTTCTGCTGCCTGCCTCTTAAGCATAAGGTACCGAGTTCGATCCCCAGTACCAAAAAGAAAAAAAAAAAAGACAGAGACTTGCTGAGTCCCTCCTGCCTCAGCTTCCCAGAGTGCTGGGATGACAGGCATGAGCCGCCCCATGCGGAGGCCACGTCCTGAGTTCAGAGTGTGCAGTGAAGCCATCATGTTCTGAGCCCCAGCAGCTGCTTGTCCCAGTCAGGGCCAGAGCACTCTGTCACCCAGGCCGGCGTCGCTCCCTGCCCCCTCCCGCCTCTCCCTCTGTCCCCAGCCCCTTCCTGGTGTCTCCGCCATCTGACGCCCCGTGTGACCCCTGACAACGCACCAGGAGGGTGGACATCATCTTACTCCTGTGTGTGCCTGTGGGGAGGCAGGGGTGTGTCGGGAATGGGGTGCCCTGGTCCTTTGGGGGTGTTGGGCTGGGCGCCCGCCGCCCTCCCCAAAGGCGCAGGAGGTGGCCGACGTGGCTCCCAACACCCTCCCTTCTCTTGCAGACAAAGGGCCCGGCGAGGACCCGCGGCCGGAGGAGCAGCCCCTGGAGGGTGAGCCTGACCTGCCTCAGTTTACTCACACGTCTCCACCCTGCCCCTCACCGTCCCTTGTCCCTGGTCTCTTCCTTTTCTCCACCGTCTCTGTCCAGCACTTCGGTCCTGCAAGCTGGTGGGGGAGGCGGGGTCCAGGGCGGGGGTGGAGCCTAGGGAAGCTGCCCTGTCCCTCCCCGTGCCCACAGGGCTGGGCAGGAGCGGAGAAGCAGGGTGCCTCCGCCCGGGCAGCTCCGCAGGCGCCTTCTCTCTCCAGACAGCCACGGCGACGTGATCCGACCCCTGCGGAAACAGGTGGAGTTGCTCTTCAACACGCGCTATGGTGAGCAGAGGGGCAGGGATGCCACGTGGGGGCGCTCGAGGGGCATCAGCCCAGGGGCGGCTGAGGCTCTGCCTGGCTCGCCACTGGGCGCACTTGGCCTTGCACACCCGTGTTCTCACTCTGACCCTGGCCCGCGACCTCCCGGAAGAACTCTGTCCTTGGACACTTGGGGACTCCGAAGCCCGATTTTGCCTAGAGACCAGGAGGGCCAGGTGCAGGGGTCATGCGTAATCCTAGCACTCTGGGAGGCCGAGGCAGGAGGTTTATGGCAAGTTTGAAGCCAGCCTGGGCTACATAGTGAATTCAAGGTGAGCCTAGACTATATAGCAAAACCCTGTCTCAAAAACAAAGCAAAACAAGGCTGGGGAGTGGTTCTGCCACCTTCTGCCTCACAAGCACAAGGTCCTGAGTTTGATCCCCAGGGCCAAAAAAATTAAAAATTTTTAAAAAAAGAAAAGAAAAGAAAAATTCCAGGACAGGAAGAGAAGAGGAAAGGAGGCTGTGCTTTGTTAAGCTCCTCTGGTGTGCAGGAGCAAGGCCATGGCCTCGCATGTACCCCTCACCAACCCTCTCACAATCCCGTCCCCAGATGAGGGATCCGAGGCCTGCCTGGCCTGGGCCTCAAGTCCGGCTTGTTCTTTTTGGTTTGGTTTGGTACCGGGGATTGAACTCAAGCAGGCAACGGCAACACTAAGCTAAATCCCCACCACACTCTGGCTTGTTGTTGACATGTCTGTTTAGGCCCAAGAGAATTTGGTGGTGGTTTATGTTTTCCTGGTATTGGGGGTTGGGGCCCAGGTTTACAGTGAGTGACACGCCCAGCTCTCTGTTTATTTTTCATTTTGAGGCAGGGTATAAGTCGTTGAGTTGCCCAGGCTGGGCTAGAACTTGCCACCTTCCTGCCTCAGCCTCCCAGAGTGCTAGGATGTGTCGTACAGTTAGGGGTCATTCATGGTGGCAGTTCCCCAGGCTGGCCTCTGTGGCAGGAGGCAGAAGACAGGTGGCATCAGTGGATCCCAGGCTGCATCTCAGCAGCTGTCAATGGCTTCCACACTGTCCGGGCGTGGGGACAGGCCCATCCCCTGCCCTGTGACCTCAGACAGGTCCCACAGCCCTGCAGCAGGGGAGACAAGGTGTCCTCATCCGGAGAAGGCGGGAAGGTGGGCAGGACCGAGATGCAGGGCCCGACCTTGTCGCTGGCCGGCCCTGCATAGCCGCTGTCCGCTCTCCGTCCCCAGCCGAGGCCATCGGCATCTCGGAGCCAGTCAAGGTGCCCTACTCCAAGTTCCTGACGCACCCCGAGGAGCTGTTCGTGGTGGGGCTGCCCGAAGGCATCTCCCTGCGCAGGCCCAACTGCTTCGGCATCGCCAAGCTGCGCAAGATCCTGGAGGCCAGCGAAAGTATCCAGTTTGTCATCAAGAGGTGAGGCCCGGATGGGGGACACGGGAGCAGCGCCGGGCCATCCTCCTCCTCCTCCTCCTCGGGTGCCAAGTCAGGTTGCCAAAGCCCTTTCTGTTCCTTCCGCTGCCTTTTTCTTTTCTCCCTACTGGGATGGAACCCCTGGCCTTCACTCTGAGCTGCATCCCAGCCCTTTTATTCTGAGACAGGGTCATCCTGAGTCACCAGATTGCACGGGCTGGGCTCCGGCTTCCCATCCTCCTGCCTCAGCCTCCCAGTGTGCTGGGGTGACGGGTGTGCACCCCTGTACCCGGTTTTAGCTTCAGATTCTGCACAAAGTTGCCCGTTCTGTTCGTAGACGTTGAATCGGGCCACTCCACGCTGTGCGCTCCAGGCCCAGGTGCCAGTGCCCGGCTGATGCCCCAGAAGTGAGGGCGAGGGTGTCAGCTGGCCGGTCCTCAGGCTGGGTCCCAGAGCCCAGAGCAGCCCGGTCCCGTGGTTGGGCAGCTGGTGTCCCAGCTGGAGTCAGGCTGCTCCGTTGTGTAGACTGAGGCCCCTGCAGAGGGTGTTGCTCCTGGGACCTCGGCCACAGCCCTGCTGTGTTTTCCAGGCCCGAGCTGCTCACCGAGGGTGTCAAGGAGCCGGTCGCTGACAGCCAAGGTACCTGCGTTTGGGTGGCAT